ACTTATAATGACGAGAGAGTCGGAGAGACGACCACTAAATTTGTCTAATAATATAAAATAGAAGTTTTATTGATTTTGTTCAGTTCACACACTTTATGCTACCCTTACTGTAGTAAACATTCAATAAATCAATAATATCAATATATCCTTGCATAATATATTTTAATAATGTTATTACTTGATTATAAAATTTAATTTTATTAATAGTGTATTAATTATAATAATAAAAATAGTGTAAAGATATTGAGAGTGTATAGCAATGCGCGCACTCTTATGCCTTCCATTCACTCATCTATTTGTCGCTAAATTGAAAGGAAATAAATTTATAAGAAATAGACTCACAATTTGAGTCTTTAAAGGACTATTTTGTTACTCGAAATGCAATTAAATAAATTGATTATGATTTACTTTAGATGTTATCTCAACTGGTAACCAATACCCATAAGTCAATGGAAAGATTTTTTATATCAATAACAAATAAATATTTTTTTATTGAATCACGAAACTAGATAAATCTATTACTAGGAAGATTATTATGAATTAAATATATATTATACAACTGCTTAAATAAAATTTCATTAAAAGGTTATATAAATAATTTATCTTAATTGAAATGCTTTGTAAGTCACTTCTCTTAATTAATAATTAACATTTATTAAACAAAACCAAAATAATTATGATTATCCTAATTATGTAAAAGTATTAGGATGTCATTTATAGGGCCTAGTAAAAATATATTGATAATAAGATTTTAATTCTGAAATAATTTTTATATGATATAGAATATTCCTATGATAGCCATAAAGTTTTATTTAAATAATAGTTTTTCAGCATAAATATAAAATATTTATTCGTTATATTCTTTAATGGACTTTTTTTACCAGTATTTCCATAAGTATATTACCATTATAAACTTATAATAAAAATGTTTTTCATAAATATTTATAAAATTCAATTTTATTTTTGGGAAGAATTTGAAAATAAAAATCAAATTTATTTTTGTTGTGAATATATAAGAAATCCATTTGAAAAGCAATACAATGTTATTTAACAGATTTATGGCACAGAATTGTGTATTATTTTCAATGTTTCGGAATTTTGGATATATTTTAAATCTAATTCATGAATGAATGTTATATAAATATATCATATGAAAAATGTTGTATTTATTCATAAGATTTTCCAATAAAGTACCACTTTATATTCAAATCATTTTAATATAATCTTATATTTATTTCATTTTATTCTTGTTTTGCATTTTCGTATTAATTTTTAAGACTTCATTCAAAATGTAATATATTACTTATAAATGAATTATGTGTTATAAAACCTGTGTCTAATGTGCTGATCTAGTTAACTATTTAATATAACAAGTTTTGTCTAATTTTAATACTTTATTTAGCAATCAAATATTATTTGCACTGCTAGCTTTAAATATTTTATAAAATAAATAAAATCATAAAAATAAAAATATTATATATTTTTAATTCATACACCCAGAGTCATTTAAAATACCATATTGTTATGAATTTTGTAAGATATAAAGTTTTATTCAATTGCATTGTGACATCACCGGAAACCATATTGTACTACATGTCTACTATTGTTAATAATAAACACTTTATTAATATTAAAATTAGGAAATCATATATTTATGAATAACAATAAATCAGTCTAGAATAATACACTGTCTATAATTAATTCACATTATTTGACTTTATATACTGTCTGTTACTGTAGTTTATACAAAATGTATATTACTTTATACAGTAAATAGTTTTTGATAAACACATATGATAATTCAGTGTAATTTTTAATGTTTGCATTAAATTAGAAAAAATAATTTCCTTTTAATTAGGGATTAATTATAAGGCTGAAGTTGTTTTTATTAAATAAAAGGATTTATTATTGAATGCAAATAAAATAAACTATAATCAGAATCCTATTACAGAATTGAATGAATGGAATAATATTGTGAATTATAGTCACAACTAATGAAATTGACATCAATTTTAATCTCTCAATAATAAGTTGTAGCAATAAATCTGATATAAAGAAAAATGTTCACAATTTAATTCAGTTATTATATATTTTCTCTGTGTATGTCTGTTTGACTGTTTAATTACATAAAAGACCAAATTCCTTGCTAATTAATTTTTTATTTTTAAATATTTTGAAGTAAACAATATCTGAGTATTGTCATAAATGTCATAAATTAAACACATATTACGGAATACTTTCATATCAGATAAACATTTGTTCACAGTTTAAACAATATATTAAAAAGTTAAAAATAATTATAATAATAAAGGATATTGTTATTGTAATTGTAGAATTTATATAATAACTTAGCAATTTGTTTCATTATTTAATATATTTATATTGGGAACTTATTATAATTAAAAATATACAAAAATTGTATCATACATTAACTTTACAGTATTTAGATAATACTGTATATTCAATTAAAAATTGTTTGTAATATATCAACTGTTATTCAGTAATTATTTTCACATTAGTATTAGTTGTATGAATTTTTCAATTAACAAATGAATTCACAGAATCAGAAAATATAAGTTTGTAATTAAAAGATTATTTAGCATTATATAATTGATGAACTAATTAACTAGACAATTAACTAAATCCCGAGATTATCAAATTTAATGATTTAATTATTATTGTTGGTTTTGGCATAAAATAAACAATATGTTACTGTAGTTTACTTAACACCATCACAAATATTATTAATTAGAATTTGACTCTTAAACATATTGTGACCAATTATTACCAAAACTAGATTTATCATCATAAATTTAATTTGAATTGAGCATCATACACAATCAAATATAAAAATACAAAAATATTTTCAATCGTTTATCTATTTCTGAGGTCAGAGTAATTATAGTCATATTTAATATTCAAGAATAAAATTCTGTAATTTTATTTAATATACACATGAATAATAATTCACAATAAAATAAATGCATTTTATATTTAAATTGGTAAAAGATTATTCGGATTCATACGAAACCTATTATATATTTTCTAAAATATAGTCAATGAAATCAACTACAGTATAATGGAATAATATTTATTGAAATAAAATTGTATACTTCAATATATTATATAATTAAAAATGAACTTTAAGATAATTTTACAAATTCATAAAAGTAACAAATCTTTTAGAAAATATTTTCCAGGAATTTCCAGAATTTTATTATAAAAATTTTTATATTAAATTACTTTCTTCAATTCAATGATTGTTATTAATTTTTCAGACATTAAGTAAAAAACCTGTTTTTGATGATTAGAAAATCTTAGGTCTATAAAACCATTAGTGTTTAATTTAGTGAAGTAATCGTGAAAATTAATTTCATTACTGACTTTCTTTCAAAACGACACATCCTTTCAAAGCACATATACATTAATTCATTCATTGGTAAAAATACAGTGCTTTTTGTTTGACCAGTAAATCATAATAATATTATTATTTCTTAATGTAATGAACGATAAATTATGCGTTAATAAGAATTTCTAAAAAACGTATTCTTTCGACAAAATTCTGTGATATTTATGTGTTTTTAAATTTTTTATAATACAAGAAATGAATTATTCAATGAAAGTATTAACAATTTTCTATTTATATATACCTTTTATGTCAACTGTTTGTGTGGCAAATATTCCGTATGTTTTTTTATCATGATATAAATTATTTATATTGTTTTTATAAGGGATTGTTTTTAAATGGGAGTGAATTTATTTTGAAAACAAGATTTTGTTTCAATTCTGTCTATGTTTTGATTTATTTAAGTAAAACAGTTTCAGACGTCTCGCAAATACTTCATAAGTTAACAAACAATGGATACGATAAGAATATACGACCCAATTATGGAGGTATGCACTCAGTGGCATCATTGCACCTAGCATATAATTTATTGCATTTGTTATTAAATCTCGAGTCCATTGTCAGACAAGTGGTTGCATTCATATATGACAACACTTCCAACGTCTAGATATTTCATTAACACTTTGTTTTGATTTATTTTCTCAATATTGGATTTGATTTTAAAAATAAAAATAGTAAATACTATTCAAAAGTGAATTGCTCTGTAAATGTAGCAAATTGTCGTTTAATGTTTACATTTAGTGTTTTTAAAAAAAATATTTGTCACAATGAATTTTATTAGAGTTGTGTAAAAATTTCATATAAAGCAAGAAAATATTTTCTAGTTTTCTTACTATAATAGTGTTGCCAAGCGGTGTGGAAAATTAGTAAATATAGTCATTTCTATTCATTGTGCATAATGTGCTTAAGTTTTATTAGGAAAATATTTATTAATATGAAAATTCATATATTACTTTTTTGATAACAGTGTAATTATAGTAGTCGCCAAGGTCGATTAATTTCTAAATTTATTATCTGCTAAATATGCTCTTTAACAAACAAACAAATTAAATAATACAAGTTTTTGTTTATTTAAAAATTATTATTATAGACATGATGTATAGAATTTCCTACATAATAAGTTAAAATAGATTTAAAAGTAATTTAATTTATATAATAACAGGAAAAGTAAATTAAATTAATAATTTACTGTAAATAATTGTTTAATATTTAATTTTAAATTTTACAGGAGCGCCTGTAGGCGTAAACATAACAATGTATATAAACGATATAAGCGCCGTGTCTGAAGTGATGATGGTAAGAATTTAGCTTGTTCATAAATATAGCCGACTTCTCATTTAAATATAAACAAATTATTTTAAGTAACAAAAACTTTTTGCTTTTGTTTGCGATGTGTTGTGTTGGCCTAGGATTACACTCTAGACTTCTATATCCGTCAGCTCTGGACCGATGAGAGGCTTACCTACAACTCGACGACTGTATCGCAGCTAATACTGGGGGCAGAGTTCGCCAAAAAGATATGGATTCCCGACACCTTCTTTATTAATGGCAAACAGGTCTCCCTTCACATCTCCACCACCACCGACTCCAACGTCTTGCTCAGGATTCAACCAAACGGTCATATTCTATACAGTCTTAGGTATTATGGGATTTATTGCCATAAATATGATACACTCGCAAACGTACTGTCCATTACAGTAGGAAATACACGAATATATTGCACTGACTCTTACACCAGCGAAACAACTTATATAAGAAAATATGAAAACAGAAAAAATCAATTTCTTTCAAATCTATATTATATAAGACAGGAATTGTTTAGTTGTTTACCTGATAATAGCTATTGTTTTTGTTTTGATTTTTATTTTTATTGTATTTATATTTCCCTGATATAAAGGTTAACGGTTGTACTCTCGTGTCCAATGGATTTAAGGAATTTCCCAATGGACAGGCAGTTATGTCAGATCAAAGTGGCCAGTTATGGCTATAGTACTTCCGATATTGATTATCATTGGGCGCAAGGCTTTGACACGTTTGGCATTAGAGACGGACTATATTTACCAACTTTTGTCATTCAAGGCTACCGACGCTTTAAAACATTCAAATTATTGAGCACGGGTATATTTTTACAATCAATAAATAATAATTATTATCGTGTTAATCTTTTGTCAATATGTTTATAAGCCATTAGATGAGGACATTTAGTAATCATAAAATATTTTATTCACATTTTAATAATCTCGCATTTTAAAAAGTTTATAGATTGTAAAATTTAACTCAAATTCAATTTAAATGTTTTATTTTATAATTTTCAAATTCAGTTTTTATTTTGAAATACGGTATAATAATAATTTACAATGATGAATTAGTAGAACAAAAAAATAGTTATATATTTTTTAAACTTAATTATGTTACTTTACAAACTAGTATTCCTTGAATGTGATTAGCGTAAAAATAGCTATTTAAATCGTAAATGTATGTAAGTTTTAATTTCTATTAATTGTAGGCAATTATACTCGACTGATATGTGAGCTGCGATTTGCGCGATCAATCGGCTACTACTTGAACCAGATCTATATCCCAGCCTTTCTAATTGTGGTCATATCATGGATGCCATTCTGGTTGGACAGGGAGGACACACACGCCCGGGTGGGTCTGGGAGTGACCACTGTCTTAACGATGACAACACTGATCACCAGTACTAACGAAGCGCTTCCGAAGATATCTTATATCAAAGCGATTGACATCTATTTGTTCACATGTTTTCTTATGGTCTTCGGATCGCTTATAGAGTACGCGACTGTCGGCTACTTTGAGTCCTCTGTCAAAGGACTGGACAAGTATTTGAATAATGTTATCAATACCTCTAAAGCTACCGGTGATGAGAAAAGTGCTACTAATCCCGAGACCGAAGCTAATGGTGTTGTCGTTAAGCCCATGAGGACCGGTATGTTCTTCGAAGTGGTGTCACGTAAAAGCGCCAGTACTACAGACAAGTACTCGCGATGTGTATTTCCCGTCGTGTTTGTGGTGTTTAATGTGATGTACTGGGTTATTTACCTGAACCTATCGCGTGAGACAATCACTGATTTAGTTTTGGCTAAAGACTACTGAAATGATCCGATTATTGGTTTCAATACTTCTTTTGGTTTTTGTGTTCATTTAAGTTATAATTATTTGAACACGTGTATCACTTTCTGTATAATTTCATGCCATAAAACTAATTATATAAATTTAACCAGTATCGTCGGGGTCCAAATAAGTCCACTAGTTTCATACCATAAAACTAATTATTATTTAATAAAATTCTCTTATAAGCAGAAATTAAGTTTTCATTTTTGTTGAAAAACTTACAAATACTTAATTTCAATGATAACAAATGGGGAATTTCTCCCATTAAATAAAGTTTTATCAATGCATTATATAATTAATGCAAGTTTTTCAGACCCTTTACTTGTAATATAATAATAATATTGAATGTTGAGCAGTAAAAGTAAGTTATACGAAAAATATATGTCTGTGTATCAGTGTCTAAATCAAAACTTTGAGGTCATATACTATTTATAACCGATAATTAGTGAGAAAGAACTAAATATTTTCAACCAAATGTTTTTGTGATATATTAATACCAGTATTTACATTTGGTGAAATGCATATTTAAATTATTCATATTTCTATTAAATAAATATATTATTAAATAACTATTGATATCGATTTTATAACAATAAATAAATATAATTTATTCTGTGCTCTCTCTCTCCTCTCTCGCTCTCTCTCTCTCTCTCCTCTCTCTCTCTCTCTCTCTCTCTTTCTCTCTCTCTCTCTCTCTCTCTCTCTCTCTCATGCTTTCTAAATACTGATTCAAGGTTTTGCGCAAAAATATTGAATTTTCTTTTTGATGACAATAAAAAAGTTGTCGTAAATTATATGTTATGTTATCCACAAAATTCCTGATGTGTATACTGTATTTTGTTATAAAGCTACCCATTTTATTTTGTAATTAATCTGGATAATGTATTTAAAATATTAATTATATTTTATCTTAATTTGTGAAAATTATATTATTTTTATATATTTATTTAAATATTTGTATTTTGTATAATAAATTCATTAAAAATACAAGTCAGTCAAATGTATAAAATTAATAAATATAATTTTATGTTATTAATTTTGTGTTTTTATATTAAAGTANAATATAAAAACACAAAATTAATAACATAAAATTATATTTATTAATTTTATACATTTGACTGACTTGTATTTTTAATGAATTTATTATACAAAATACAAATATTTAAATAAATATATAAAAATAATATAATTTTCACAAATTAAGATAAAATATAATTAATATTTTAAATACATTATCCAGATTAATTACAAAATAAAATGGGTAGCTTTATAACAAAATACAGTATACACATCAGGAATTTTGTGGATAACATAACATATAATTTACGACAACTTTTTTATTGTCATCAAAAAGAAAATTCAATATTTTTGCGCAAAACCTTGAATCAGTATTTAGAAAGCATGAGAGAGAGAGAGAGAGAGAGAGAGAGAGAGAAAGAGAGAGAGAGAGAGAGAGAGAGGAGAGAGAGAGAGAGAGCGAGAGAGGAGAGAGAGAGCACAGAATAAATTATATTTATTTATTGTTATAAAATCGATATCAATAGTTATTTAATAATATATTTATTTAATAGAAATATGAATAATTTAAATATGCATTTCACCAAATGTAAATACTGGTATTAATATATCACAAAAACATTTGGTTGAAAATATTTAGTTCTTTCTCACTAATTATCGGTTATAAATAGTATATGACCTCAAAGTTTTGATTTAGACACTGATACACAGACATATATTTTTCGTATAACTTACTTTTACTGCTCAACATTCAATATTATTATTATATTACAAGTAAAGGGTCTGAAAAACTTGCATTAATTATATAATGCATTGATAAAACTTTATTTAATGGGAGAAATTCCCCATTTGTTATCATTGAAATTAAGTATTTGTAAGTTTTTCAACAAAAATGAAAACTTAATTTCTGCTTATAAGAGAATTTTATTAAATAATAATTAGTTTTATGGTATGAAACTAGTGGACTTATTTGGACCCCGACGATACTGGTTAAATTTATATAATTAGTTTTATGGCATGAAATTATACAGAAAGTGATACACGTGTTCAAATAATTATAACTTAAATGAACACAAAAACCAAAAGAAGTATTGAAACCAATAATCGGATCATTTCAGTAGTCTTTAGCCAAAACTAAATCAGTGATTGTCTCACGCGATAGGTTCAGGTAAATAACCCAGTACATCACATTAAACACCACAAACACGACGGGAAATACACATCGCGAGTACTTGTCTGTAGTACTGGCGCTTTTACGTGACACCACTTCGAAGAACATACCGGTCCTCATGGGCTTAACGACAACACCATTAGCTTCGGTCTCGGGATTAGTAGCACTTTTCTCATCACCGGTAGCTTTAGAGGTATTGATAACATTATTCAAATACTTGTCCAGTCCTTTGACAGAGGACTCAAAGTAGCCGACAGTCGCGTACTCTATAAGCGATCCGAAGACCATAAGAAAACATGTGAACAAATAGATGTCAATCGCTTTGATATAAGATATCTTCGGAAGCGCTTCGTTAGTACTG